CAGATCCAGAGTCCATCAAAAGATTAGTCTAGTGGGGTAGGGTTTATTAGATTTCTATATAGGTCAAACTTTAAATGTTTGATTTATGTGAGTGATATTTGTTATACATCTCGAAAGAATTAGTTTTTTATTCACCTAAAAAAAATAGGAAAGTTGATACCTTTATAATAAGTTACTTTTGGCAACAACAAAAGTTACTAGTTTGTTGATATCAATTAATATGAAGTACATGTAGAGGATAAAAAGAATGGGAAAATGTTTCAGTCATCTAATTCCAATCCATGAATGTTTAGCAACTTGTTATAATTTAAAAAGTCAAAAGCATTGGATTAGCTATAAAACAAATAGGCTCTTCCAAATGGATGAATGGGTAATCAAAGTCAAGTCATGAATTGTGCCAATCTCAAAGTAGCTGAACAAAACATGCCGCTTCTTAACCATAATTGAATCAAAAGGGACAAAGAAAACAAGGACTGAAATTTGAAGCTACTTATAAAGGTATTATTATTATTAGTATGGTCCCAAACATGATTTTGCTGATAAATTATTCATCACAACTCCTTATACCAACTCTATAACTTTTGCACCCAAACTTACAAAGAGACCAAGTCAACCAAGGAAAAAATAATGACCCAATGTTCCTAAAATGAAGGATGGTCATTTGCTTTTCAAATATATGCTAAGTGGGGTTGCTTCAATTCCACTTCACAGACACACTCCTTGATTTTCCTGCTTTCATGCTTCATTAACCAAAACCAAGCCACATCAATATTCAATTCATATTTTCAAGCTCTATATTCTTCTAAGGAACGAGGACTGTGAACCTTTGTAACGTATTATGTTAATAATGACCCATCTATAGACAAGTTGTGTCTTTTCCCCCTTCCATTCAGGATCATGTTATAGAGCCTAGTTGAACACATGAAGAATAACAGTGGCAGATGTTTCAGCATGACATGTCAGTTATCATATTAAATATATATACATATATATATTTGTGTGTGATGAAGATACTATTTTCTTACACACTGTGGATGCTATGTCACATTGTCTGACCTCAGAACTTTTAAGGTTTCCAAATGCTGTTTTTCATTAATTATATACACAAAATCTTAATAGCAAAAAGTTATGTGATTTGCTAGATGCTTGAGACAGCAGCATCAGATTATTAAATCATAGATCGTACATGGAATATAGAGTTGTCGTTTATCATAATACAGTGTAATAGCCCACCTGTTTGAGTAGTATGCTACACCATATGAAATTTAATAAAAATTGGTACATAACCTATCTCAACTTTATATTCGTAGTTTTAACATCCTCTAATAAATCACACGTACCACTATCACCTATAGTTTTGTCCTTTTGAAAACTGCAATATAAAGGCAAAAAAACTGAATAGTACAGTTTTTAAAAGTAACTATATTAAGAGTAGTAAATTGAATTGAATATGGCAAATTGTAACCATTATAGAGTTATATCGGATTCGCTACTTGATCAATTTCATTAAATCACTAATTTGCAAACAGATCATTATTTGGATATTCATGTGTATAAGAATAAATTCCATGCATTACATACAATACAAACAGATTAAGCCTATGGCTTGAATTTTGGTTGGTATTCCTCATCAAATAATGAATTTCAGAAAAGGGTAAAACAGTGATTCACAAAAGTCTAACATCTGCCTAATTCAGAAAACATACACTAAATACAAAATCCATTTGAAGTAGAAGTAAGAAGGTAAATACAATCTGGTAACAGCAGGGTCCATGACTTCCTATCCTATATCTAAACAAATTAATATTGGACAATTACATGAATACTGAGATGACATTAAGACTGCAATGTCATCAAAGAAACTAAGTCCGGCTCGTGACCATGAACTCTGAAGCGATATATACAAGTGTGTGGGCTTCCATGGTTCGATGTAAAGTCGAGCCTGACTGTGTCTATGAGACCAGAACCAGTAGAATTTAGCACATTGAAAGTTTGAGCTTTGCTCTTCTCGAGGTCATATGTAAATTCTACTATGAGATACATATTTTCAGTATCAAGCAGAGCATCGGTATTATGCCCCTGCAGCCAACCAGATACCCTGCAGTCTTTGGGAGCACTAGATCTGTCATATGCAACATTCTGTTGAAAAAAATTAAATATCAGTACAACAACCATCAACGATATTTTATCCCCCCTTTTGGTCCAATCAGTAATCAATCTTAAAACGTATCATGCCAAGCAAAAGCAGATAATAAGAAATCAAAATAGTCATACCCAAAATGTCTTTTATCCACTTCTCAAACTGATTAATGAATGTAAAACAAAAAGGTAATTGAATCTTATCTAATATCTATAAAAGCATAAGGAAATTATGAAATGGTTAATTCAACAATACAGATATATATTAAAATGTAGAATGTAGAGGGAACTATAAATGAAGAGAAAAGCTTAAAAGAACGGTTGAACAGAAGGAAGGGAGAATTAAACTCTTATTACGACATGATCCAAATTCTTCACAAAATAATATACACAGTTTGAAAACAGGTCACACAGCACTAGCATATACTTAACCTTGTTTTCTCTTATATTATATATTTCATAAGAATAACTCATTGCTCTCAAAAAACTAGGAGAAGTTATAGTTAGTCCTTCTATAATTTAGTTTCTAGTGTCTATGAATGGATACAGTAAATGGTAAAAGTTTGATAAGTGCTAATGGCAGCCATCAAGAGTGTCATAAAATTTCCACTTAAAGTTGATTACACACGCCTGAGGGGAAAACGGGAAACGATTTAATCTAAATCACATGCCAATGTGGCAATTAACAAAAATGAGAGCTTAATCTAGCACCAGCACTGCACTCATTCAACAGGTAAACTAGCCCAACGAGGCTGATTATCGTTTCAACAAACATACAAAGAGAGACAAACAAAGGAAAGAAGTAGAACAGAAAGGAAGGACAACAATGAACATTAATCTGTCTCCCATATTCTGAAGGATGGAAACAATGTTTCATTTACGGAATAACATGCCTTGATACTCATCCCACCAAGAAATCATACATGTAACTATTTAATTGGATTGTACAATCATGATTAAACACCTAATTTTGTCAGGTCTATTTTACGTAGTAGAGGGAGAGAAAATGGCCCATTAAATGCTTCTTTTATCATATCATTAGCTTTTATTTTAAAACAGGCATATCTGGTCATCCTCAATCCCTAACAATTACATTAATCATAAATCGTCACATCTAGCACCCCAGGTACGAGAAGAAAATCATGTATCTTCTACAAACCACAACATTAAGACAACTAAAGGCCAAAAGTTATCAATAAACTACTTGAACCAATTGACAAATATGGGTATCACATAAAATAAACTTAATTCAGAGCACATCATGCAAATTGACACAATCACAGTATGCATGTATATAATAAAAAAATACATCAAAGAGTATATACTAACAGGTTGCCATGCAAATAGCAATTTTAAGAATAAAGGCATTACCTTTGCAACATGTTCCAATGTGACAGCCTCCGGAATGATGGCTGTGCGCAACTTAATCTCAACAAATCCACTGCTACCCTTCAATGGAAAACACTGCCCCGGCTCACCAAAACTCGGTTTCAACATCTTTTCAGCACTGTGGTGGACACCATTTGTGGCAGCCGACATGAACCAATCCCCCCACCTCCTATCAAACGACTCCGAATGCTTCACCACACTTGCTCCACCGCTGGCAAGAGCATAGTCCACCCTCCCAAGCCCATCAGCAGAATACTTCTCAAGCTCCTTCTCAATCATTCCCCTTGCTATCTCCCTTATCTCATCCAAATCCCCGGCCTTATTCTCATTTCCCTTTGCATTTTTCAAACCCTCAAAAATCTTCTCAAACTCTTCCTTTGACAACCAATCTTCTGTCTTCAACTCATTCAAATATCTCTCTAATTCATCATTCTTGGCCTCCAATTTCTTCAACCCAGAATCCAAAATGGCACCTTTCTCATCGATTTTATCACTTAACTCCTTCCTCAACCCTCCAACCTCATTTAAAATCTTCTTATTCACCGCCTCGACTTGCACCTGAACCATCTCCGCCGTTCTCTTCAGTGACCCCTCCATGTCCGAAATTCGCCCCTCAATATCAGACAACCCCACATAATCCCCGGCAACATCATCACCGGATTCCAATGTCAGCCTCCAAATCAACTGAACCAAACCTAAAAGCACGACAATGAGAGCAAAATTCTTCAAGAAAATTCTCAACACCGTAACCCACCGTGCCTTCTCGGCCTTCCCATTGGGCTTCCGCGTCCTCCTTGTTGACAAGCCATTCGAATTTGCGCCTCCGGCAATGACGCCATTAATAGAATATTTTTTTGTCGGAGTCAAGTCCTTGGAAGATCTTTCAAGAACCGCCTCACCGCGGACCGTGTGGTAGCTGATGTCACGGACGTTTCCGGCGGTGGATAGATTTCTACCTTCATCGGCGCCGGAAGTGGGCGCAGGCGTAGATAGAGCAGAGTCGACGGGGAGGAGTTCGATGTTGGTGGAGGTTGTCTTATCGGTGGCGACGGTGGTCCTACGACGCGCGGCGGAGGGTTTAGCCGCCGTGATAGAGACGGTTGACATGGAAATGGGTAAGAAGCGGTTGAATTGAAAGAAGAAGAAAAAGATGTAAATGTTGTAAACCCTAATTGCGTGGTGTTGAAGAAGAAAAGAAAAGAAAAAGGGTAGAAATTGTTTAGAAGAAGAATTGAATAGAAATAAATTATAGGAATGAAGAGACACTAATTGGTTTCTTTCGTTCGTTTTGATTGGGAATGAGTGAGTCACAACATTTGAACTGATAAAAGCGGATGAGACCGACCAACGCGACTAACCACATTCATCGGTTCATTAACCTACCCTTCTTTTGGGCCTACATATTTCAAGTGAGGATTAATATATCATCATATGAGCCATTATGTAACAAGTAATTAACACCCATAAATTGAAAAAAGTGTTGGTCCAAGTAGCCAAGGCTAGCTAGGAATGAAGGACTAGGAGTGCTGTAGCCTGTGATCCCTCCACTGTTGGGAGCTAGAGGTAGTCGCTGCTCTGTGAAGCCAGCCTCACGCTGTGCCCTCCAATCTAGGAATCATGAAGCCTTCGATTTATCGTAAACTTCATGGTTCAACTCTCAACTTGGAGTGGGCAAGCCAACATTTGCACAAACCAATCCACCCTAGCCAGCCAAGACTATGTCCCAACACCTTAATGCCCCCACTTGGGTTACAAGCTGGTGTTACCCAACTCGGCAAGCAATCATGCTTGTCAGAGGCTTTATAAACTCTGAACTTTCACATATTTTGTTCTATGTGGGACTAAAGAAGCATTACTAAATTCATATGTTAATGATGTATAGACATTCATGGAAGATTGATCCAATATGGTTCATTCCTCATCATGGGGAACATGTTCTTGCAATAGTAGTAACACCGTTCAAATAAATCAAAAAAGTTTAGAAGTTGATGATCTTATTATTATATTTATTAACTATTAGTTCAATCTTCTTACATTTAGTATAGAGTGAGTATAATGCTTAACGTTATTTAACCTTCATATTCTCTTATTTTTGTAACACCAATATTCTCTTAGTTGAAGCAAAAAATATGTATTACTCAAGTAAATGTAGATATTTTTTAAATGTTTATGTATTTTAATTTTGTATATGATATAATAAAATGAGTTGTGATGCCTATAATAGTAATTAACTATTTTGGTGAAAAGGTTGATGATGAATAAACAAGACAACCTTGTAAGTTGTAAGTTGTAACGTTAGAATGCCAAATAAAACAACTCATAACAGATATAGGAATTAGTAATTCCATATGGTATAACAATAAGATCACTAAAGGTGTTAAAATTTCTTAACTAGAAATGAGACAAATAGTTAGAAGTTTATAACAAGAAATTATTTCAACAGAATCCAGTAACAATCAATGACATCAATTCACCAAGACATGGTTGTTTTTGTTGTTTTCTATATATACATTCATTCCCTTTATCATAAAGTAGGTGTCTAACTTTTTTCTTCAAAGGGGTTAAGGAAATCAAAGTAGCATCAATTGATATAACATTGCAAATCACAAGTTACTCATCAAAACAATGGGAGCTATGACAGTGCCAGGTTCTCTTCCTTGTGGGGATGCATGGTACAATTTGACTATATCAAATCCCAATGATATATGGAAAAGTCAAAATGTCCTAACATCTCAAATTACTACCTTTGCATCTCAAGTTGCTTTCATTTTGTTCACAACTCGGTTTATATACTACATTCTCAGACCCCTCAATCAACCTCTCATTGTTATTCAAATTATTGTATGTGTTTACAAGTTTGTTTCCATTTTTGACATCTGAACTATATGTTATAATTCAAGATTATTATGTATATTGTATGGTAATCAAGGAAGCACAGACACACATCGATATTCGACACTTTTAGACACAACTAATCACATATTCTATAACATTTATTTTGTCTGTTCCATGCATATGTGTGCTTCCTTGTTAGTTAGATTTACATTATATTGCAATAGATTTGACAAGAATGTTTATTTTCTTCATATATTGGGCATTTTTTACCATTATGATTAATTTGTGGTGTAACTAATCTTAATAGGTAGGTTGCTTGATGAGTCCAGACATACTTGGGAGATATGATCTTTTTCAGAAACTCTTCCCTTTATCCTCAGTCATATCTAGTGAATCTATATCACATGTGGGACTTATTTACTATGTGTTCCTCATTGGTTTGGACATGAACTTGGACACTATCCTAAAAGCGCGAAAGAAGGTTATAAGCATTGCTGTTGCTGGCACTTTCATTCCAATGGCAATGGGGGCTGGCATATATGCTCTGCTTCAAATTTATTGCACAAAGAATTCTGCTTTATTTGATAAATTCAACACAAATGGTGCCTATTTGTTCTGGACCTTAACTTATAGTGTCACAGGTTTTCCTATCCTAGCTCACATCCTTGCAGACCTCAAGCTCCTCTATACAGGTTTAGGAAAAGTGGCCTTAACAGTAGCAATGATCAGTGACTTCTATAACTGGGTCATGTTTTCATTGCTGACTCCATTTGCTATTCATAGCAGTTCACTTTCAGCCGTATACTCACTGATTTCCACCATAGCCTTTTTCCTATTTCTCTTCTTCGTGTTACGCCCTCTTTTGACGAAGTTAATAGTGCGCAAGACCGTTCAAGACGAGTGGGATGACTATCAGATGCTATATGTAATCATGGGAGCTTTTGCTTGTGCACTTGTCACAGATTTACTTGGGACACATCCTATTATGGGGGCTCTAGTGTATGGTATATTGATACCTCGCGGGAAATTTACAGCTATGCTGATAGAGAGATCAGAGGATTTTGTAACCAGTTATCTGGTTCCCTTGTTCTTCTTTGGTTGTGGCATGAGACTGAGATTTAGTAATATTTTTGAAGGAGGAAATTGGATGATTGTGCTGGTAGTTGTGTTCTTGTCATGCATACCCAAGATTTTAAGCACTGTGATAGCAACCTACTTCTTAGGTATGACGATTCGTGACGGTGTGGCTCTTGGACTACTCATGAACACAAAAGGGATGTTAGCAGTAATAATGCTCAACATTGGCTTGGACAAAAAGGTATTAACTAGCTCCATATATATTACTTTTCTACTTTCTTTCCATTTTAAGTTAGATTAAAAGAAAATACCTTGGTAGATTATTCTGCACTAAAACATATAACTAACAATTAAACTGGTATGCAATGATGGTGTCAACTTTTTACACAGGCATCTACTAATATTTTGACATCTATGCTTTTATTTTAATGATTAAGAGATAGAAGTAGCAAAAATGTTGCTTTATCAAAATATCAAAGCAAGTTTTGGTTATTTATTTTCATGTATGAAGCTTGACTAATAACATCTTAGTCCATGTAGTTGACTCTGCCTACATATGAAACCTGACTTTTAGTGTTGTTGATGAATATTTTATATTTCTCAGATTGTTGATGATTACTCCAATTATAGTTAATAACTAGCTCTTTTATTCTGTCAGATTCTGAGTCATAATTCCTTCACAATTTTACTGCTAGCCGTTTTAGTAATGACTCTAATGGTGCCTCTTATCGTCAATGCCATATACAAGCCAAGAAAGCGATATGCGCAAAACAAGCTAAGAACTATACAGAATTTAAAGGTTGATGCAGAGCTCAAAGTTTTGGCTTGTGTCTATAACACTCGCCACGCCAAGGGAATGATCAACCTTCTAGAGGCATGCAATTCCATTAAAGTTTCCCCTTTACATGTGTTTGCTGTTCTACTCATTGAACATACTGGAAATGCCACTGCCCTTCTGGCTGCTCATTTAGAACAACCACATCACCAATCAGAAACATCACATGCCCTCACCAAAGCACAAGAAGATATGGAAAACATTGCTAGTGATTTTCAATCATATGTGCAGGAAAATAATAATAACAACACTAAAGCTGAGACCCTTGTTGCAGTGTCTTCTTATTCAACCATTCATGAAGATCTATTCAGCTTAGCACAAGAGAAACAAACAACTTTTATCCTCCTTCCTTTCCACAAACACTTGAGCTTAGAAGGTAGTCTAGAGTTAACAAATAATGCATATAAGAATGTAAACCAAAATGTCATGGGAAATGCACCTTGTTCTGTTGGAATCTTTGTTGATCGCGGTCTAGGGTCATTGTTCAAATTAGACTTGCGTGTTCTTATCATATTTATCGGCGGACCCGATGACCGTGAAGCCTTAGGTGTTGGTTGGAGAATGTCAAAGCATCAAGGGATACAACTTTCTGTGGTAAGGATTAATTTGTTAGGAAAAGCTGCTGAAGTGGAACAATCATCAGATACCAAAAATAGTGGACTAATGGCTGCATCACTAGACAATGAAAGACAAAAAGAGTTAGATGATGAGTATGTTAGTTCATTTAGACTCATAGCAGTGAACAATCAAGATTCTATAAGTTACTCAGAAAAGGAAGTGAGTTCAAATGATGATATTACAAAAGTGCTTAAAGAATTGGACAATCTTGGATATGATTTATACATTGTAGGACAAGGGATGGGTAGGGACTATTTGATCTTATCAAATTTGTTGAAATGGACTGATTGTCCTGAACTTGGAGTTATAGGGGACATATTAGCATCAAATAGTTTTTCTTCATGTTCTTCACTTCTTGTTGTACATCAATATGGCTTTGGTGGAATGGTATTTGAGGCTACATATCAGCATCCTAATGAAAGTAGTGCAGATAATGATGCCTCTGAGGAGGTTTCTGTGAAGGTAGAATAGCTTCATTCATTAATATTGTCACTGTTGATAAGGGTATTACTTATGCCAAAGAAGGAAAAAAGGATATGATTTGTTAAGTAGGAAAAAGTTTAGGTGTATTGTTGGAGAATCAAAATAGAGTAAATGAAAATACAATCATTTTCAATTCAGTTTTCATATATTCTTTGTGAACACTACATATAATTTTAGTTCTTTTGTCTGCTTTGTTTGTCCATCAACCCTGCAAAGTGCAGACATCTCTATTAGGCAACATGGTAGTTTGAGAGCTTATTGTCTAAAAAAAAGAGCTAAATTTCAAATAAGATTTTGATATAACTTGATTTATTCAACATTTATCTTTCCAACTTATTATTTATTATTAGCAAGATATGAGAGTTTTTTTAAATATAGATGAGGGACAAAAATAACTTTTTTTCTTCCTTAAACAATGATTGAAAAAAAGTTAAGGACAATTCTATACCTATCTGTAAAATATCCTAAAAATAAGAAAAAAAATCAATATTCGTCCTTAAAAAGGAATCAAAGGTTATTGAAAAATTTATTTATTATATAATTTATTCCTCAAAATAATTTTATTAAATAACTTTTTTAAAGTTTCTAACATGAAAATATTGATATTTTAAAATTCTCATATGTGCAAATTTTTTGATGGAATTGAGTGAAGTCAAATTTTCATAAATCAATTTGTCATTTAATTTAGGACCAACTCATAATTCATAACTTTATTATTTGAGACACCAAATTTCTCATAGATAAAATTCTCAACAAAAAAAATTGTACTTCATTTTTTTAAAGAAGCAATTGGTCTTAGAAAAAAATATAGGGAAAATTTGGGTCTTTAGATAAGAGGTGTCGTTTCCCTATGTTGGTATGTGTCGTTTTTTGCCCTAACTTCGACCTTGCATTTCATTCCTCACTCTTCGCCTTTCTTTGGTGTCTG